GCGGATGATTTAAATATTTAATAATGGCCTGTCTCACATTCTTAAGAGGAGGCCGTGTTTCCCAGTCACTCCTAAAATGTTACCCCCGAGAAAATGTGGGTTTTCAGTGGTGCCACATGTGCACGTGTCCCTCAGTCATGAAGGTGAGCACCTCGTGGCATGAATTCTCCAACCACAGAAATGAGTGTGTAAATCTCTGAGCGGCTCCACGGTGCTGTCCCAGCTGCCTGTTTGTTCTGTTTTAATAAAAACCATCCCCGCACCTCATCACCCCTCACCGTCCTGGTCTCCAGGCCTCGCGCACAGAGAGCCAGCGGCTCACAGCACCACCTCCTCCCCTCTGGCTACCAGCTGGCTCCGCGCGTGCAGCGAGTGTGCGCACTGGGGCGTGTGGGGACGGAGACGGAAGCGAGCCACGCCAGCTCTTCCGTAGCACAACACGCTGTCCCGTGGCCAGGATGTGGCCGGCCTGCCATGGGGTGGCGCACTGCACCCCGACAGCGGGCGGAGCGGCTCCGCCTCTCCCGGGCTGGGTCCCCGTTAGGCCTCGGGTCCGCAGGGAGCAGCACCTCTCCCCGGGCAGCCAGGGCGATGCTGCAGGAGGCTCCGGAGCCCGGTGCCTGTCAGCGCCACCTCCGCGGCCCTCAGGGCTCCCAGGCTCCGGGGAAGCTGGCAGGAGACCCCCACCCCCAGGACAGGAGGCCCTGAGCAGGCACACAGCACCCCTGGGGCGCAGCCACCCCTGGCCTTGTGCGGGGAGGGCAGGGCAGGGCTGCCAGGCTCGGGGAGGTGGAGACACGGGGCGGGAAACCAAGGAGCCCGGGCTGGGTGGTAGGGCTTGGTGGAGGAGGACAGCAGCTGGGTTGCCCAGGCCAAGCCCGGTGGGGCCCATCCTCCCAGTGGGAAGGACCCTCCATCCCTGCCCACAGCCACGGCCCCATCACGGTCACAGGGCAGAAAGTTCTAGATGCTGCAGACCCCTGGCAAGCTCAGCCAAGATTCCCGTGATGCTGCGAGGGCTCTGCCCCCAGTCACTAAGGGGGTGGCAAGGTCACAGGGTCACGACCCCAGCCCCTGAACCTGACACCCAGGGACTGAGAGACTCTTTCTGGCCCCAGGGGGAAGGGGCCCGTCCCAGCCCATCCCAGGATCCTGAGCCTGTTGGTTCTCAACTGTTCTTTCCACAGTGTGGACCTGAAAGGGACAAATGTCCGTGGTCTGTAACACACAGCCCATGGGTGTCCGTCACAGCCTCCGGAGGCCAGGGCCCGCGTGCGGCGGGGAGAGGACGCCGTGTCCATCTCAGCCCCCACCTGCTGCTGCTCCTCGCCGCGGTGGAGGCAGCCCCCC